GCCGCTGCGAGGCGGCCCCAGCCACCCCGGGCGCCCCGGCAGGGGGTAGCGCCCCCGCGTGCCCGATGCTCCTGGCCGACAAGAGCCCGCCAGGCCTGAAGGGCAAGGAGCCCGTGGTGTACCCCTGGATGAAGAAGATCCATGTCAGCGCGGGTACGTGGCACCGCCCGGGAGGTGCGGGGAGGGTGGGCCGGGCCGAGCCCGGGTTCGAGGGTCGGGGCGGGGGTCAGGAAGGAGAGGCCGAGGGGAAGGGGGCCTCAGGAGGGGAGCCCCCATCTGGCCCGGGCTGCAGTGGAGTGTGGGTGCGTGCGCTCCAGCCGCCTGATTCCAACGTGAGAACCCTTTTGTACCGGGGTCCCTTTATCTGGAGATTTAGGAGACGCCAAACTGTTAGGGCAGTAATTATAGCCCCCATAAATTTAATTGCCCTGGCAGAGGCTTCGGGCCATGTGTCTTTGAAGCTTTTCTTCAGCCCCAATGCCCAGCACCATTCTTTATGGCTCTCGGGTGTTTCTCGTTGTCAATAGCCTGTGAAACATTTTTGCCGTTTTATGTATCTTGCGTGAACTTGGTGTCAGGTTATTATGTAATGATGATGTCCAATTGCTCTTCCCCACCCCACTTTCTCTCTCCTCCTCTTTTCTTTCTCCTCTCTTCCACTCCCTCCTCCTTGGCCTTCTCCTCCGGGGTTCTGGGCGTTTAGTCAACTCCAGTTATAACGGAGCGGAGCCCAAGCGCTCTCGAACCGCCTACACCCGGCAGCAGGTCTTGGAGCTGGAGAAGGAGTTCCACTTTAACCGCTACCTGACCCGGCGGCGCCGCATCGAGATCGCCCACACGCTCTGCTTGTCCGAGCGCCAGGTCAAGATCTGGTTTCAGAATCGGAGGATGAAGTGGAAGAAAGATCACAAACTGCCCAACACCAAGATGCGCTCCTCCAACTCGGCTTCAGCCTCAGCTGGCCACCCAGGGAAAGCACAAACTCAGAGCCCCCATCCTCATCCCCACTCAAGCGTGTCCACACCCATTTCTTCCTCGATATAATCCTCTATAAAGATCTAGACCACTTTCTTCCCCTTACCTGCTTTTCTCCTCTCTTCTTCTGTCCCTTTCCCCTTTCACTCCTCCCTGCCTGGATCATAAGACACCAAAACAATACCCAGTTTGGTGAAAAGGATAACAAAAAAGAGGACGTTATCCCGGTAAGAGTGTGTGCTGGTTGCTATCCAAAAGAGGGCAGTGGGCCAGGATGCTGGCTGGTGGAACAACCTGCTGGCCTGAACAGGCTGCCAGGTTTGGGTACCTGAGAAGGGCCACTTGGCATCAAATACTTTTGAGATGACTGAAGTCAGTTGGACAACCCATGCTGACTGGGGACATGTACAGGTATATTTGTGGCAAGCAGAAGAAAACAGACCCCTTCCCCACCTCACTTACTTCCCTCTCCCCCATGAAGGCAGCTCAGACAAGGTTGTATTGAACTGAATAAATGAGCAGACATTGTGGACCTCACAGGATTATTTAATTCTCAAAATGTATAGACTTTGATGGTAGGTGTGACACGTTAGTTTCCCTTCCTTGCATTTATTTAAAATATTGTTATAGAGATATTGTTGTGTTATCTTGGGGCAAAATCTTGGGACAAGGGGAGTGCATTTAGACCTATGTGCAACTGTACAAATTGTGATGTGGCTATATAAGAGCCATGTGCTAAGAATAAACTCTGTTCTAAAAATCATTAAAAATCTAAAACACAGATTTGTGTGTTTCCTAAGCTTTCCATTAAAAAAAAAAAAAAGTCCTTTGGCTTGAGATGGTTGACCTTGCATGTGAAAACTTTGTAGATGGCTTTAGTTGTGTTCACTTGAATTCTGACTGCTCACATAATTTGTATGTGTGTGTTCAACTTGAGCTGAACTCTTATCAGGCTTGACCCACTGTGGGAAAACTTCCAAAGAGCAGAAAGGCTCTTGAGCGCTGAGAGGGCTCCTCTTCTTCCCAAACTTGGCCAGGCTTCCAGGCTTCAAGATTCTGTAAGGCATAGAAACGTGTCCCTCCCTGCAATGAAAGGTGAAACCAAGCAGTGCTGTGGGCCCAGGAGTTTCTGCAGCTTTTCTGCATACTGAACTCTGAGCACACTTGGAAAGAAGTGGTCCCTTTGGTATTTACTGCACCTTCCTACTTAATCTGCCTGTTTCCTTGGAGAGAAAATACAGTTTGTACAAAGGGTTGAGATTGCTTTTTGTTTCTTGGCTGTTTTAAAGGTCCTCTTCACTAACTATAGCTTGGGAGTTTGCTTGTTTGCTTGTTTGGTTCTGTCTCTCTTTCTCTCTCTCTTTGCAAGAAGAGCTTATAAAATAAAGTGCATATTCCCAGTACACCCTCCAGAGTTTCCTCCGAGGAAAAAAACCATAATGACACCCTAAAGTGCATCCCAATAGACCTGGAAGTGTTCGCTGCTGGAAGAAAGCCAAACTCTGAACTAGGGTCACTTTCCTCAAATGTTCTGGGATCTTTCTACTCAATCCTAGCGATCTAGATTCAAAAGGTTGAAAATCAAAACCCGTGTCTCAAATCTCTATGGTTTTCATACTTATTTACTAATTTAGACTTGGTGCTCAGTGGAGGGAGTTCCTGCAAGGAGACACAGAAAACCAAAGCACACTAACTCCAGAATATTAGAACCGTCACCTGCTCTTGAATGAGTGCAATTTTTAGTTCATGTAATTTAGCAGAGATGGTGGGAGAATGCTCAGCTAGCTCTGGAATATCAGATGAATTTTTAAACACATTTTTCCATCACTGGCACAACACTTAGCCAGTGATCAGTGCTGGTACCCCTCACTTCCCTGCTGCCTGTGCTAACAGGCAAGGGTGATCAGCTCTATGAACAAACCAAATCTGAGAGGAAAGTGAGGGGCACCAGTTTCTTAGGAACCTCCATCCTTCCCTAAGAAAACTCAGGGGCAAACAGATATGCACGTGCCTTCCCAAGTCAGCCCAAACCTGGCATACAGTGCATTTTATAAAGTGTGAACGGGTGCCAGGGATTTCTGGAGGCACTGCAACTGCTGCTGAAACTTATTAACCCTCCCCCTGCTACATGCACTTGTAAAACGAAATTAAATCACGCTGAAAATAGCAATTTTCCCAGGAATCATTAATCACCTCATACAATAAATACTTCTTTGTAATTCAACAGCAATTCTGAAAGGCATTCTCTGGGAAAAGTCTGTGGAGGAGCGAGGGATCTTCTTGCAAATAATGTGGTCTCAGGCAAAGACACAGCATCTTGGCTGTCTGCTCAAAAAATGCCTAGATTCTCGGTGGAAATTGAGTGTCAAACTGCAAAACCTCAAATGGCAGATTATCATCATTTCAGGTAAATGCTTATATTTCTTTGTGGGGAGCAGAGGGTGTAGGACATTCATTAGGTTCATACTGGGGACAATTGTATGAGGGTGAAGGAGATGAAGGGGTAACTTTTTCACTTGCTCATAGTCTACCCAGGAAAGGAAGAGAGAATTGAGATCTTTTTCTAATGTTCTAGGACAGAATAGCATTATTGCCTGGACTGTCTTGATTATTAAAGTATTGATGAATTTTGCAAAACCAAAGTTATCCAAAATGATACAAATGATTATGGCATTTTTTTCAGTATTTTGTCTGTTTCAGATTTGGCCATTAACAGAACTTATTATAACATCTTAGAAAATCCCACTTCGTGCTTCAAAATCATGCATGTCTGCCCTTTGCTAGGGCAACCATAAGAGTTCACCAAGAGGACAAATTTTCTATCTCATTAATTGTTTTTTTTTTTTTTTTAAAGCAAACCCTACTGGCCCCTAAACCCTTGACCTTTAAAGAACAGTATTTTGTATAAGCTCTATAATTTTCCTACCAAAAGGACCCTTATACATGCTGTCCTCTTTCTCCCTCTTCCTCTCCCTCCCTCAGACACACACTCAGCTGCTTTAGTCACAGAGCCAGGCTGTGCACAACTTGGAGATAAAAGTTTTTGTCAACATCTGAAATAAACCTAAATCGGATAGGAGACACTTTAATGGTCACAGTTTGAATTAAGTACTTAACATTATCCCCCTTGAAGAAAAATAGCACTTTACAGGCTCTCTTCCCTAGTTTTGCTGAAATCTACGATATACCCAATGTTTTATTACAGTGGCAATTCATCTGTGACAGGCATAGTAGAGTACTTAATACCCAGGATGGAGCTCATGGGAAAATTACCTAGATATATGGGGAGTGGGGGATTGAGCCCTCTCACAGCATCTCTGGCTTTATACCCAGCTGTCCCAAGGTGCCCTCATTCCCTCCACCTCTCAGCCTCCTTCCCATGTGGTGGGTACCACCATCTCCCTTCTGTCAGCTGCTCTCCTAAGCTTCCAAACTCACCTGCTCTTCTCACCACTAACTGTTTAACACAGAAACTGATCAGCGACTTACAGATTTATGGATTTATAGAAAACCCCCGAAAAATCAATGTAGCAAACAGAAACTTGGGACTCCCTGTCTGAGTGGATTCTGTGCAGGCAGTAGGTCCTCCGTTGCACTCCCTTGATCTCTGTATCCCTAGCTGGGGTCCTGCATCAGAGAACACAGGCTCACCCTTCCCAACCGCTGCTCCTGTTGCCCCTTGTCTATATTGTGTACTGGCCCAAGAATAACTCTGCTTCCCCTTTCAAAGAGTCTGAGTTGGGAACAATAGGAAGAGGAAGAGATGTGTGTTTCGCATCAGGAAGGCTACTGGGGCTACTGTGAAACCTTCTAGTCTGGAACATCTGTATTGGAACTTCAGTATCTCTTCTTCTCAAGGCCCCAGATTGATGGAGTAAAAGGCCCTCCCCCACCCCTGAGGCCAGCCCCACTCTCTCCCGGGTTGATTCTAGGAGCTGAAAGAGATTCCCAGATAGAAAGAATGTCTCAGGTGAAAGAGATGGTGGCCATTTTGGTTCAATCCGCTCAGTTTAAGGCTAGGTAACTGAAGCAGAGACATGATCCCCCCCATGTTCTTTATGTTAATGAGTGTGTAGGTTGAAGAAAGCTTTTGGTCTTACTCTGGATAGGGGTAGATGCAAGGGCATCTTTCCTCTGTGGAAGTCTATTCTGTCTGCAATGTATATATGTATCTGGGCTTACACTTGTGTGTACCGCCACAGGTGTGCGGTGGTGGTGGGGGGAAGGGTGGGTTCTTGCCTGATGCTCCATCAAAGTGGCCTGGGAGATTATGGATTATGTAACCCAACTGCCGTAGTCAGGACGCTCAGACAGGTTTGACCACTGGGATCAGTGCGCCAGGGAGAGCGGCGGGCTTCCCACTGTCTAAAATGCTCATAGGCCCAGATGACTAATTCCACACTCGCCCAGGCTCTCGCCCTAGGGTATCGATGGCAGTAGCTTGCCCAGGACCCCCTGCAAGGGCGCCCGCGCTCAGGAGGCCTGGGGAACTAAAAAAAGGCAAAAAGGACTCTGGTTGCAGCAGATAAAGGTGTAGCGCCTGTTCGAGGGAGATAGTGAAATTGTAATCTTTGGGGTCACGTGACTCATTAAATAATTAATGCAGATCGTCAGGAATGGATCGGAGTCGTCAGGGCCTCACTAGGAATGAATCTCTTGGAAGTGAGACCCTAACTTCCTATTTGATTTTTAAAAACACACACTCTCAGATTTATCTCCGAAGGCGTTTAACTTCTTCAGGAAAGCAAGAGTCAGCCCTTCGCCAGGGAGGATCGGAGCTGGCGTGCTCTCCCTGGGTCTTGGGGCTTTTTCGTGGGGTTTCTGCGGGTCCGGGGAGCGCGCCGCGTCCAGGGAAAGGTGAGTTCTGGCTCGGATTTTCTGCGGTCACATCCTGGTTTTGGTGATGAGTGGGACGTATACGCAGACAGTTGGTAATGTTCTAATTCACACTGGGGAAGGCTGCAGAGATGCCACAGGACGGGCGCGCGGCTTTGTTCAATTTTCCCGGCGTTCATAAATCACCCGCGCCAGGCGAGCGAGGGAGCAGGCGAGTGCCAAAAACGTCGAGAGGCCACGGAGGCGGCGGCAGCCATTGCAGAGGGAGAGACCTGGGCAGCATCTCTCTGTGACTCATTAGTCGGAACGATTTATGGGGAACAGCAGCCATGAATATTAGACTTGGGGATAAGGAAATAGCAACAATAATAATAGCCATAATAATTATAATACTCCTAAGCGTGGCATGGGGGTGGATGGTGGCAAACGGATCTTTCTGGGGCGAAGTTGAGTTGCAAAGTGCAGAATGGCCAACACTCAGCTTGCTCAGGGGCACCCCCTTTGGGGACACAGAGCAAGTCTGAACTAGAGAAGGGGGCCCAGCCCGGATTCCCAGTCCTAAGTATTGGGTGGAGGGAGGGGATTGCAGGTCAAGGTGGTGGCAGAGAGCAGTTGCCAGTTTGCGACCACTTGTTTAGCGTGCCGGGGGTGGGGCGGGGGGCAAAGCCAGGGGTCTGGGGACTTGTCAGCTATTTGGTAGCCCAACTTGGCACTACCAGCATGACTGCATGGACGTGGGACAGCGAGGCGAGGGCTGACTTTGGGCAGGCTGGAGTGGGGGGCAGGGATAGGAAGCAACCAGCCCACCAACAGCCCCAGAGGACCGGGAGAAAGTCTCAAAGCCAGGGCCCAGCGCAGGGAACAATTCTTTGCTCCTTACCCAATGTTTCAGTTCCCAGAAAGTCGGCTGACTGCTCAATGACCATTTGCTGGTCGGAG